GAGGAGAACTACTGCTGGGAGCACAATATGCGGAAATGGAGTCTGTCACAGTCAACTCTCCCTACAGGCCACAAATTGAAGACATCTTAATGAATAAATAGAATGGGAAGATTCACAAAAGTATAAAAGGAAAGCTACAGAGGTGGGATACTTCCACACACCACCCTGTCCAAAGGAGATATTCTCCGTTGCCACTGATCTCACCCACACAACCTTCTAAAGCAATTCCTGCTGACCTCTCAAAATCTCAGCAATCAATTCTGTACAACATCTTTAACTCAACAGCACTTGCTCGAAGCACGCACACACACACACACACCACCTCAAAACAGCTATACATAATTTTATATAAAGCCTACGACTAAAACCACTGCTCTATGTACACATCAACAATTTTTTTTTTTTTTTTTAAAAAGTTTCAAGAAAGTATTTACAGATTTACCAACCTTTTTGGCGATTCACCAGGTGCTGCTCACTTCTGAAAACAGGAATGTTGAAACATTGCTTTGGTCAGGAGGTGGTAATCAGCTGTCTCTCTCACACACACACACACACACACACACACACACACACACACACACACACGAAATAAGATGAAGGCCAGTTCCATCACAAAGTAGGAGAATGGGCCAGGGTAATAGGCACAACTCCCTCAGGATGTCAGCCAGCACAGGCACACAAGAGGGAATGGCTCGCTATAAAAACTCCACCATAAAAAATTTAAACGAACAATGACTCACAAAACACATCTCATTAAAAGCATTTATCCACCATGGAGTGGTGACTTGATTTTCTGTAGGTTGGAAGATGTGAGAAATCACCAAAGCTCAAAACAGCAGCAGGGTCAATGAGGCAGCAAATGGCGATGCACAGCTCGAAAGCCACATTTTTAGTGGCACGGTACCTTCCATTCTTGTGCCAACGTAATGCTGCTTCGGAAAGGGGAGTTTCATTTTCGCTGTCGGGATGAAGTTTTAAATCAGTCACACATACTGTGGCACCTCAAAATAAAAGCAATGATCACAGAAAAGAATGAGAAAGGAAGAGCGAACTTGGTTTCCAACACCTCAGTGACAGCCAGAGTGGCTTTCAAGATAATCAAGGGGGCTCACCCTCACCCACAGGAAGTGACTGGTGCCCACCCTTATCCCCTGAGAAACAGTGATTTCAAAAGTTGATAAATTTAAGCAGAGTTTTAAAACTGGCATCATTTAAGATTTTCTTCTTTTAAAACAAAAAGCACCATCGGAAATCCAAAACTCCACTTCAGATCAGTAAACAGGCAACAGAGGAACAATCCATTAAACACACTCGCACTAGAGGGAGTCTCGCCACAAGCAACCATATTGGTGCCCATCCCCAGCCCGTTTAACCCCACCCCCTCATCAACATTCCTTCTAAATTTCTCAGACCTTCCAAGGGCTGTGCTTGGTACAGACCTTTTTCTCCCTCGAGTGTCAGAGGCTAAGGGTTGACCTTACAGAGTTTAAGGTCATGGATAAAGGTGAGGAGCCTGTTTTCCCAGGGTAGGGGAATCCAAAACTAGAGGGCATAGGTTGAAGATGACAGGGGAAAGATTTTAAAAAAGAGGGACCTGAGAAAGCAGTAGAGGCAGATACAATTACAACACTTCAAATACATTTGGACAGGTACATGGATAGGAAAGGTTGAGGGATATGGGCCAAATGCACGCAAACGGGACTAGTTCAGTTTTGGAAACCTGATCAGCATGGATGGATTGGATGAAAGGGCCTGTTTCCGTGCTGTATGACAATGACTTAGTCCGTGTGCCAGCACGCCAACAGAACTGGAGGGGGTATTTGGTCAGCTGTCCAAAGGTCCTGCAAACATCTGCTGGTCATCCAGCATGGGATATGCACAGCAAGTGTAGGGCAAGCAACACGACTGGAAATTGGGTCACATGATGGAGCATTCCTCACTATTTTAAAAAAAAGAAAGATTTTTGGAAAATTCCACTGCACAAGTTCATTTGCAGCAAATGTGGTTACCACCAACCAGGGATGAAATGGGCATGGCAGTAAGGAACACAAAAATTCGAAGCAGGAGTAGGCTTTCCCATTCGATATGATCATGGCTGATTGGAAATGGAGGCCACAATCCACTTTCCGATTACTGATCGAGCACCGGTTTAAATTCAACTTCCACCTGCTGACCACGTGGGAGAAGTGGCCGAGCCTTTCTTTAACAGCTCCCAAATGAGAAAACAGGACTTGGGGAAAAACCCCGTTTTCTGATTTCCTGGGAATTGTACGAAACAGGAAAAGTAAATCCTGTGCTCAGTCTCTGGCTACTTTACAGGCCACGCTGTTTGGTGAATCCAAATCTCTACACAAGCCATAAACAATAACCAACCTGCTCAGCTAATGGCAGAAACCCAGGAACAGAGGAGATACTGGAGCCAAGTCAAGAGAAACCTGCCACGCAAAACCCACAAATCCTAAATCTATTTCCACATGATCCCTCTGCAAACGAGCTGCCCAGTCTGAAATGGGGAAAAGGGGGTGGGGGTACAGACTATGTAGGGGGCACAGTGCGATAGGATTAGGGTTACTAATGTATTTCACTGCTTTCAAATGGAACCAGAGTGACACTGACACAGCTCAATGGCAGTGGAGTAAGAAAGCTGGGAATAAAAAGATGGAATGAGACACAAAATTTGTCAAACAAACAAATGATGACAGGGCACAAGGTAAGGTTCATACTTATTTAAAACTGTAGTGGCGACAGGGAAGAACAGCCCAACATATGACATTGCCTGTCCCATAGCTCACCCCAAAATTTGTAAGGAATAGTAAACTAGGTCTCAGATGCGCCAATATGGTCACCTTTGATAAAACCAGTGGCGTGGATACACGCACACAGTGGCGAAACTCCCTCTTTGACACAGCCAAACTCAAGGCAGCACAGACTGCAAGTCACAAGGAGCAGATCCTCTGCACCTGCCTCCTGTCTTTCTCACACCCAATCCCTGGGATTCCAGACACTGGGATCATCAAGGTCCTGCCAACTCTCAAGATGCCCTGGTAATGTCAGCAGGAAGTCCACGATTGCCCCTTAAAAGTGTTCATGGGTAAACTAAAGTCGTTCATCACCTTCAGGGAAATAGAACCTTTTGATGGAGCAGGGTGTCCGAGGGTAGGGGAAGTCGTCGGGTCAAGCAGGAGAGACTAGTTACGCAGCAGTTCATCGAGATCATAGGAGTCGAAGAGGTCACTGACCCCTTCGCCATCCTCCAGGCTCCACAGGTAATCCTCCCGGTCCAAGGGTGGAGAGAAGCTGACAAAAGGGGTATCACTGTAGGACGTGGAAGGGAGTTGGTCCTCCGTTTGTTGGAGGAGGTGATGTGATAGACCAAGGACCCCATCTTCACAGTCCAGCAGCGAGCTCGGCAAAACCGGCTTCAGGTCGTCTGGAACAGCAGGAGGGGGAAAAAAGAAAACAAATTCATTCAGCTGAACCCAATACTGTTAAATAGTTAGGAACAGGCCATTCAGCCCCTCAATACTGTTTAGCCATCTGCATCCCAGCTCTGTCCACCCACCTTCATAACAAAAACACAGAAGAAAGCACCACAGAGGGGCCGTCTTTTGTCCCTCTGCACCTCAGCCTTGGTTCATTAATCATTACCTCACATCAAATCTATTAAAGGAGTTTACAATCTTCCAATAAAAGGCTTGAGGCCAGGTGTTTGAAGATTTCCCAATTTCTGCCTTTCTTTGTGAAGCACTTTGACTTCCTCCACGAACGGTCTCGCTCTAATTTTATACTAACTTAACTTTGTTCAAGATTCTCTGCAGAGAAAATAGTTTCTCTCCAACTTCCTTTAAACTCAACTTCAAAATCTAAATGGGACACTAGCCCAATCTTCTGTATGTAAGAGAATACAAGAAGCCTAAGACTATGCAACCTGTTTGCAATATAACTGGTTAGCTCCTGTATTGTTGCGAGAATCTGTATTACATCCCGTCCAGCACCAATACATCTTTACAAGGTGCAATCTCTGAACTGCACAAAGGACTCTTAAAGGGGTTGGTGTATACTAACAAAGCTCCATCCCATATTAATTCAGCTCTCTTGCAATAAAGGTCAACATTCCATTAGCTTTTGTAATGGTGGCTTCAACTGCAAGGACATTAAGTTTAAACAGCAGGAAAGACTCGCTCCCACTGGACAGGGTGTTGACAAGACTATCTAAATAATTCTCATCTCCTTAAAGAGGGACATACTTGCTTTGGAAACTGCAAACTAGGCAGGTTCCTGCGATGAACAGGTTGAGGTGCTGCATTTTGGAAAGGCAAACCAGGGCAGGACATACACACTTTGCAGTGAGGTCCTGGGGTATGTTACTGAACAAAGACTTGGAGTGCAGGCTCAGTTTTTAAATCAAAAAAAAAAAACAATGGAGTCATGGGTAGATAGGATAGTGAAGGTGGCACTTGGTACGTTTGCCTTCATTGGCCAGTGCATTGACTATAGGAGTTGGGAGGTCATGTTGCAGCTGTACAGGACATTGGTTAGGCACTTTTGGAATATGGTGTTCAATTCTGGTCTCCCTGCTATAGGAAGGATGTTGTGAAACTTGAAAAGGGTTCTGAAAAGATTTACAGGGATGTTGCCAGAGTTGGAGGGTTTGAGCAACAGGGAGAGGCTGAATAGGCTGGGCCTATTTTCCCTGGAGTGTCAGAGGCTGAGGGGTGATCTTACAGAAGTTTACAGAATCATGAGGGGCATGGATAGGGTAATAGTCAAGGTCTTTTCCCCAGAGCAGGGGAGTCCAAAACTAGAGGGCATAGGTTTAAGGTGAGAGGGAAAGATTTAAAAGGGACCCAAGGGGGAACATTTTTATAGAGGGTGGTGCGTGTATGGAATGAGCTACCAGGGGAAGTAGTGAAGGCTGGTACAATTACAACATTTAAAAATGGCACCTGGGTGGGTATATGAAAAGGGAGCTTTGAGAGAGATAAAGGCCAAATGCTAGCAAATGAGACTAGACTGATTTAGGATAAATCAGGTCAGCATGGACAAGTTGGACCAAAGGGTCTGTTTTCATGCCGTACATCTCTAATGATTCTATAAAGAAAAGGTTGGGCTTACACACCTGGGAATTTAAAAGAACAACCTCATTGAGCACGAGGTTCTGAAGGGGCTTGACAGGATAGATGTTGAAAGTATATTGCCTACCTCCCCCACAAGGGGCAAAGTTTAATCATAAGGGGTCTCCCATTTAAAACAGATGTGGGGAAAATTTCTTCAGGGTAGTCAGTTTCAGGAAATCTCTACTACAGGCTGGGTCACTGAATTTTCAAGGCTGGAGAAGTCAGATTCTTGTTCTGCAGGGAGTTAAAAAGGTTAAGGGGAAGGCTGGGGCTCTGCAGGAAAGTGGAATGAATAATAACTAGACGAGCAAAGACCGCCCCCCCCACCAAATCAATGGCAACGCATCCTTCACGCACTCAATAACCCAATCCTGCTCCTGTTTACAAGCCTAAGAATTGTTTGTTGCATCAGTTCATTACAAAGATTCTCTCAAATCGTTCTGCCCTTCCATTTCAAAGCTTTTGTTTACAAAATAATCCCAAACGCTCTTTCCCAGGTCTAAAAAGTGGATGTCTCCAGGATTTCCTCCCACATCAAATTACCTTCCTCTTTAATTTCAAGTTTGCAGGCAATTTTCGGACATTCTGTTTCACTCTGGACTGGAGCTCTTGTCCCCGGCTCATGCTTTGGGAGGCATGCAGAGACACCACCATCCTCCTTCTTAGGTGTGCTGTACTTCATCGGGCTGTTCTCTTCCGTTACTTCCTCTGGACAAAGGTACACCTCGATTGGACCGTTAGTGCTCTTCAGGTAAATCTGCAGGTTCTCCTGCTAAAGGGAGTACATGATGCTCGTCAGTCTCAGAAGTTAGAGATCAGCTGATTCCATCCAGCATTAGAAACTTAGTGTGACAACCCCTGCAGTACTGTTTACTTTATGCAGGTGGCACCAATGGGGTCTTTCAACAAGTTGCATTTTTATCATCGAATCCCTACAGTGTGGAAACAGGCTCCTCGGCCCAACAAGTCCACACTGACCCTCAGCATCCCAACCAGACCCCATTCCCCCCAATTGACACACCCCTGAACACTACGGGCAATTTAGCATGGCCAATACACCTAGCCTGCACATCTTTGGACTGTGGGAGGAAACCCATGCAGATAGTCACCTGAGGGTGGAATCGAACCCGGTCCCTGGCACTGAGGTGCAGCGGTGCTAACCACCGAGCCACTGTGCAACTGTTGGATGGAAAACTGTTCCCCAATGGTCCACAGGAACAATAATGGCCATCGGGCCACATTAGACCACGACAAGTGGCCAAAAACATAGAAAAGGGGTAGATTTTAACGAGTACCTTAAATAGGAGGAGACAAGAGCTGAGAGTTGAGGGAGAGGGGTGAGAGTTTGGGCACTGCCACTAATGGTGAAGCAGGATAAACCAAACAGGTGCACAAAAAGGCCAGAATTGGAGGAGTGCAGAGATCAGAGGGTTGTAGGAGATAGAGAAGTGGTAGAAATAGTGATAGTCAGAGAGTTGTGTATTTTTTTTTTGGAGATGGGGTTGGGGGGGGGGGTGCAAGTGTATGAAGGAATTCAATACATATATGAAAAAAAGGTGCAAATTCTGAATTTCAACAATGCACAGGTTTTAATATTGTAGGTTCTAAACTTAGGCAGTTGGCATCTGCCGTAACTGTGTAGCTCCATCCCTAGCCACTAGGTGGTCCCAAAGCACTTTCCCCAGTTAAGAGAAGAAGTTTATAGATATTTTAATCAACTTGTTCAGGGATGTTCTTACAAAGCTCTTAAACCTGGGGCTCCTGGCTCAGAAGTAGGGACACTACCACTGCACCACACAGAGCCCCTAGGGAGGTTTATAAACTCAATTAACTCTCCACTCATTAAGTTTGGAGCAGAAGGTGTCATGAGGTCATCACCATTCAGTGGGAACATGGTTAAAGTGTACCATGTGTCCACATCATTTCACACCAAATGCCTAGTTCAGATCAATTGACCACACATTTAAAAGCATTAATTCAGCGAGCGTCAGCTGCCTTTTTTCCAGGAACAGCAATTCATAGTTAGCGAAGCAGCATTTCACACCTCTCCCCCAAATAGATGTGGAGGTGCCAGTGTTGGACTGGGGTGGGCAAGGTCAAAAATCACACGACACCAGGTTATAGAACATAGCACAGTACAGGCCCTTCGGCCCACGATGTTGTGCCGAACTTTTACCCTAATCCTAAGGTCTATCTAACCTCCACCCCCACCTTATACTATCATCCATATGCCTATCTAATTGCCAGTAAAATGCCCCTAATGAGGCCGACTCCACTACCCTCTCCAGCAATGCATTCCACGCCCCGACCACTCTCAGAGTAAAGCGCCTACCTCTGACGTCTCCCCTATATCTACCTCCACTCACTTTAAAACTATGCCCCATCGTAATAACTACCTCCACCCGAGGAAAAAGTCTCTGGCTGTCCACTATCTATACCTCTGATCATTTTGTACAACTCTATCAAGTCACCTCTCATCCGTCGTCGTTCTAAAGAGAAAAGCCCTAGCTCTCTCAACCTTTCCTCATAAGACATTCCCTCCATTCCAGGCAACATCCTGGTAAATCTCCTCTGCCCCTTTTCCAACACCTCCACATCTTTCCTGTAATGAGACGACCAGAACTGGACACAATACTCCAGATGTGGCCGAACCAGGCTTTTTGTATAGCTGGAGCATAACTTCACTGCTCTTGAACTCAATCCCTCTATTAATGAAAGCTAACACACCATACACCTTCTTAACAACTCTATCCACCTGGGTGGCAACTTTCAGGGAACTGTGGACATGAACCCCAAGATCCCTCTGCTCCTCCACACTGCCAAGAATCTTTCCGTTAACCCTGTATTCTGCTTTCAAATTTGTCCTTCCAAAATGAATCACCTCACACTTTTCAGGGTTAAACTCCATCTGCCAATTCTCAGCCCAGCTCTGCATCTTATCAATGTCCCTTTGCAACCTAGAACAGCCCTCCGCACTGTCCATGACTCGATCCACCTTCGTATCATCTGTGAACTTACTAATCCACCCTTCCACTCCTTCATCCAAATCATTTACAAAAATCACAAATAAAAGAGGACCCAGAACAGATCCTTGTGGTACACCGCTCGTAACTGAGCACCATGTTGAATATTTTCCGTCCACTACCGCCCTTTGTCTTTTAAGGGTCAGCCAATTCTGAATCCAATCTGCCACATTTCCCCCCCGTCCCACACCTCCTTACTTTCTGCATGAGCCTACCATGGGGAACCTTATCAAGCACCTTACTTAAATCCATGTATACCATATCCACTGAGCTACCTTCATCCACATGTTTGGTCACCTCTTCAAAGCATTCAATAAGATTTGTGAGGCATAATCTACCCCTCACAAATCCATGCTGACTATCATGAATCAAACTGTGCCTGTCCAAGTGATCATAAATCCTATCTCTCAGAGCCCTTTCCAATAATTTGCCCACCAATGAAGTAAGACTAACTGGCCTGTAATTTCCAGGGTTATCCCTATTCCCTTTTTTAAACAAAGGAATGACGTTTGCCACTCTCCAATCTTCCGGCACTATACCAGTGGACAGCGAGGACGAAAAGATCATCGCCAAAGGCCCTGCGATCTCTTCCCTCACTTCCCATGGAATCCTTGGATAAATCCCAACAGTTTTATTTGAAGACAAGCTTTTGGAGTCTCGCTCTTTCTTCAGGTGTCAGTGAGGGGGGTGGCATCAGAGACAGCATTTATAAGCAAAAGATCAAAGGGTCATAGAACTGTTGTAAATGTGTTGAACAAACCTAAGATGGCTGTTAAATCTTTAATCAGTTAGAAAGGATTAAAATGCAAACTCCAGAATTTCAAGTCACTATAATTTTAATCACTATACCAGAGGTGACATCCCCAGTCAGACAATACATTTTAGGTGTGAGGCCTTGTTTAGAATCTAGCTGTGTATTAACTTGGAGTCAGACTGGTTTTATTCCCAAAGTAGAAATTTATAAAATGCCACATTGACTGTCTACAAATTGTATGCTTTGGTGACCATAATAGAATGTATCTGCAAATGCAAATTCACCCCATAGATTTATATGTTGGTGTACACAAAGAGTGTGTGGGGGAGGGTCACCTGTAGCGCGACATGAACCCAAGATCCCGGCTGATGATGAATCAATTGATGAACCCCTCACACATGGAGTAATATCCTCATATAGAAGCTACTGAATGATCTGAATTTGGTTTCTGTCTTAAAAATTTGAAAGGAGACAGAGAGGGAATCCCCTCTCTGCTGGTCAGGGAACAAGGAATCTTAAAATCCGAACCCGGTGATTTAAGGAAGACGTTTTCTGTCCGAACACAGACATGCTTGTTCTATTCTCTCATCCTGTTCTCTTGCTCAAAGCTTTGAGACCTTGAAGTTGCTATCAGAGAGCTGGTTGCTTTCTCTAACAGAGCCTGCCAGACTTGCTGAACATTCCAGCACACATGGTTTTCCACTTGGGAGGTCAAAAATCTCACACAACACCAGGTTATAGTCGTGAGGGGCATTTCCCCAGGGCAAGGGAGTCCAAAACTAGAGGGCATAGGTTTAAGAGACAACAAGGTGCAGGGCTGGATGAACACAGCAGGCCAAGCAGCATCATAGGGGCAGAGAGGCTGACGTTTCGGGCTAAGCTGAGAGGGCAAAGATTTAAAAAGGGGCCCAAAGGGCAACTTTTTCATGCTGAGCGTGGTGATAGGGTGATAGGTTTGGGTGGGATGCTCAGAGGGTCAGTGTGGACTTGTTGGACCGAAGGGCCTGTTTCCACACTGTAGAGGCTGTGATTTCCACCCAAAAAAGAAAGGACATTAGTGAACCAACTGGTTGTTACAACAAATCAATGGTTACTCGATCGCCATTAAACTAAGTCCATTCCAGACTTTTACTGAATTCAAATTCCATCTGTGATAGTGGGACTTGAACCCATGACCCCAGAAGATTAACCTGAGGATACCATTGCGCTGCTTCCCGATTATTTATACACTGCTGATGACAACAAGAACGATGATATTTCAAAGCTACTTCATTGATTGCAATGTAGTTTGGAATTTCACAATGTCAAAAAGGAGCTCAATGGAGAGATTTGCATTTGTATAGTACCTAACATGTTATTGTTTGCAAAATGCTTTGGAATGAAGTACTTTGACAGTGTAGCTGTTGTTGAAATGCAAGGACCACACAAGCCAATTAATATGCAACAAACTCCCCAAAACAGCTATGCGACCAAAATCCGTTTTTAAATGTTGACTGAAGGAAATATCCTTTAGCTTCTTCAAAACAAAAAAAAAAAGCACCCTGGAAACTAAGAACCCAAGGGGGCATAAAAACCTTTGATACAAGATCAGTGATGGCGCCTCTGACAGTGCAGGACTCCCTCGGTACTGCAACGGTGTGATAGCCTTGCATTCATAAATGCAACTTACTGAACGGGACTTGAAACCACAGTATGGGGCATTGGGGTGAGCCACAGAGGATGGAAAGAGCAGGAAAGGACAGTGTGCCTTACCTCACAGACATCAGGCACCTCTAGCCTCGTCTCCGGTGGCGCTTTCACTGCGATCACTGTCTGGTCCTGGAAGCTGTCGATTGAGCGAATATCTTGGTATGTGACATAGGCCAGCGTGAGCAAAGGTCAAGGTGGGAAATAAACAGAACGACTGCAAGGCACACAATGTAACAAATCCTCACCCAGCTATAGTCAACTCCACCACCACCCAATCAGGAGACAAGTGATGCTTCCATAAGGCTGTAGCCTGACACTGCGCCCCCTTGATCTCCAGGACTGAAGCACTCAATCGTTATGTTTGACACGCCCTATTCCTGAAGGAAGCCATGAAGCAAGCTCCCAGAAAGACTCAAGAGCGGGGCCACATTCATTCATTCAGCACCTTTCACAAGCTCAGCACATCCCAAAACTACCTCACTGCTATTGGAGGTGATTTCTAAAGTGCAGCCACTATGACCAAGTCAGAAACAGGGCAGCTAATGTGCACACAGCAAGGTCACACTAACAGGAGTGTGAATGACTAGATGCATTTGTTTTTGCAGATGTTAGATGATGGAAATAGAAAAAGAGGACAGGGCGAGGATGAGGAAGGACAGAGGAGACACACAACATAGCTCCACCAATGAGATAAAGATACAACTCATTATAGAGAAACAGTGAATAGCACCATTAACACGTGGAAGGATATCTCTGATTTTCCTCATCATCTGTCAGCATTTTCAGCTGCGTGCTGCAGTTCTGGATGAGGTCGTCAAGGGATCGCTCCTTCCTCACAAGGTCAGTCAGATCCTGCCTGAGGCACTGCTGCTTTGCCACCACCGATGTGTCTTCAAACAGACTGCGGCCCCTGTGGGAGGAAAGCAGTGAGAGTGAGCCTTCTCTCCTCAGTCTGCAACCTGGATCATAAAGTTCAAACAGAGCCCCAGAACCCTGGGTTTTGGATGTCTCCGATCCTACACACCACGTCATGTTTAAAAATAAAGTGAGGCAAAGGGATGGATAACACAAATCACAGAATACGATGGTGCTTTAATATCAACAAGAACACCGCTTTAGCAAGTCATGCCAACCCTCTGAAATTCCCTGGAAAGTCCAGCACTGGAATTGAAAGTTAATTCGAGACACCGCTGTAATCAAAGCTTACACAGAAACATCATACAGGGATTAAACCATTGCGTTTTTAAAATTTTCTCTGAAGAGTTTTGCTTACTTGTAATTTTAGAAAAATTGGAGCTAGGAAAGAAGTTGTTTGATTGGTTTGGAGAATCAATTAAGGAAGGGTCTACTCAATCTCCAATTGGCCATGGGTTTGTGAGGTGGCAACTCTTTGGCCAGGCTGAAAATATTAACCCATTCCCAATCCCAGCTGTAACAGGCAGGAGAAAAGGCAGTGAGGTCATGACCCCAAGACAGGTCAGCATACTTCACAATTCTCAGTGTCACCTCCCTTGGACACTGGCATGGCCCCCCTTCACCTCAATGACATATCAATAATTACAGAAAGGAAAAAGGACCATGTTTCATAATTGGCCACGTTGATGACTTATTGGAAAGAGCTCCGAGTCAATTGCTGGGAGAGGAAACCGGCCTCCCATTAGAGAGAGTGAGTTCGATGACTGATCCAGTTACCACAATTTGGAGCTCTCACTGCTTTCCAAGATCTGGATCACCTAATCCTACGCCTCCAAACTCAGGAGGGGTGTCCTGCCTATGGATATCACTTCAGGATCTATTCACAGACATAACTCTCTCACACCCACAAAGAAGGGTGCTGAATCTTCTGGGAAAGCCTGGATTCACCAAAAATGAAAGACTATTCTCTAGGACACTGCTGCAAGCTGTAAGAAGTCATCGCTGCTCCAAAATGGAATGCAATGCTATTGGTTCTCTTCATACGAAAGTGTTGTGGAAAGATTTTATTGGATAAGTCAAAATGACAAGTCTGCTCGTTTTTAAACTGGCCACTGGAGGAGTGGTTTACTTTAATTGATGGGGAGTGTGGGGCCACAAGGCAATTGGATGTCACAAGCCTCCACTGGGCTAACCATGTAGAGTTAACAATGCAGCTCCCAACGAACTGATCCTATGAACCACCAAAAAGTTTGGGAACTCAGTCACAGGCTGAGGGCCATTTGGAAAAAGACCAAAAAAAAAGTGCAGTGACTTACATCCACTGAATGTTGTTTTTGGATTTTTTCCGGATGAGTTGAATTCCTTCCAAAACGTTGGTGATGTCGTAAATTCTCCTCTTCTGGACTTCAAGGACTTCCGCTGCTCGGTTCAGGTCCAGGACGCCATCCGGAGACTCGCTGAGGAGATGGACAAACTTCTTGGTCAGAAGTCCAAGTGAGGTGTCATATCGCGTCTTCTCCCCAGGAGACTTAGGAGCTGCGAGTGACAATTAAAGCAAAGAAAAAAACCACAGGTTTGATCTCATTGATCCATTCTTGTATTCTCTGCCTGCACATCAGAGAAGGTTCAGAATGTGCCTTAAAAAGAGACTAGGAAATTCATAAGTCAACATGCAAGGGCAGCAAGTGTTTAGGAAGGCAAATGGAATGGTGGCTTTCATTGCAGGAGGGAGGATGAGAGTACTGAAGGATAAGAGGTTTTGCTTCAACTGTATAGTGCCTTGGCAAGACCGCACCTTTAGCAGTGTGCGGTTTTAGTCCTGACCCAAGGAAGGATATCACTAAGAGTGCAATGGAGGCTCATTCCTGGGGTGATAGCCCTAGGCAAAGATTGAGGAGACCATGCCTGTATTCTCTAGAGTTTAGATAATGAGAGAGATGGTTTCACACAGGCAAGGGAGCAAAACGTCGACATTTACAGTAATAAAGCTCAGAAAAAGGCCATTCAATCCATCGCAACTATGGTGGTCATTTGATAAAAAAAACTTCAGCCAAAACATCCTATTCCCAATCTCTTTCTCCGAGGCCTAGCAAATTTTACATGTCCTATTAATTCCCCTTTGAAAGTTATGATTGAAACCATTTATACCATCCTATCAGGTAGTGCATTTCAAATCATAAGTCATTGCAAAACATTTCTGTTCGGCTCTGCTATGCTCTGATAACCAAACTCCTCACCAGTGGAAACAGTTCCTCCCTGTTTAACTGACCAACAAACTTCTCATGGTCCTGTCTCAGCCTTGGAGAATAATCCAGTCTATTATAACGGAGGTCCCTTGACCTCAGTACTTCTGTACACTTTCAAATGATAATAGCTGATGGCTCCTCAATAATTGGAGACTAGTAATAGCCCTAAGATAGTAAGAACTGTCGATGCTGGATTCAGAGATAACAGAGCGTGGAGCTGGAGGAACACAGCAGGCCAGGCAGCATCAGAGGAGCAGGAAAGCTGATGTTTCGGGTCCAGACCTGAAACGTCAGCTTTCCTGCTCCTCTGA